AGTAAAAAAATGTTGGTGAAATTTGGTTTAGCAATATCCAAACTATAAAAGTAGAGTCCTTATAAGTTTCAGACAGTTATGAGAGGGAGAGAGAGAGGAAACGGAAACGTGGGGCAGCGACAAAGTAAATTCAATAGACACGATCTCAAAAGAATTTAGATATTGCAGCAACTTAAATCTGTCTAAAAACGGTCTATTTAGCATTTCTAAGAATTAAAATTTCTCAAATTGTACACAGTTCACAGTTTCAGATGAATGAGAATAAATTTATAATGTAGAACAATTTAAAGTATGAAGCAGACTATAAATCAATGCAACTTGCAACACTAATTCACAGAGCAACTGTGCAACACTGGTGCTGTCTTGTTTACTTGCAACATGTTTTATCACACACATTCACACATTTGTATGTTGCAAGAAAAAAGCAATTAAAGCGAATATTTTTGTTTATTGTCAAATTCACAAATTATCAGATTTGCCGCTCGTTCTCTCTGCTCGCCCCTCTGTCTCTTGGGCGTGGTCAGTTCTATATATGTATGTCGATATGTTTTCCAATTAATTGGGCTGTCGTTGCAGTGTTGAATAACGTGCTTATGTTCAGCTGTCGAGTGTCTTAAATAACAACAGCAACAACGGGAACTATTACAGAAACAAAAGTATTTACAAAATTAAATAAACATTATTTCCCATACGCTCAATTTATCCGTTCTATGCAATAAATTTGTAAAATTGCGAATTTTCTGCTTCAATAAATTGTCAAATCTGCAAATCAACAATAACTTAATCTATGGGACCTCCACAGCACAGCATCGCTGTAGGTGTAGGTGTGCGTGTGACTAGTGTGCGTGTGTGTGTGTGTACACAACCCGACTGCATGCAATACGTATACATAATGTGCTGTTAACGGCTCATAAAATTGCACTTTAAAACGCGATTCGCAGTCGCGAGTCGAGCGCAGCAAAGGACAAAACAAAAACAGGAAGTGTCGACGACAACGTTGGCTAGAAATGGCAACAACAACAACAACAAATCAACAACTGAGCAAGAACAGCAACACAACAATTTGGCATGGCTAGCTCAAGCAGTTGTAAAAACACAAAATCTTATAAGTAGTATGTAAAAATCTTTATCATATAAGCTAACTCATGATTGATGTATTCTAAAAATATATCATCAAATGGAACAGTGGAATTGAAACACAATCAATTAGAACGGAACAGAACCACTTGAGACGAAGAGTAAACATAATGAAGAGAAAAACAATATCTAAGAAAACTTTTGTAAATTCCGACGGTTGTGACAATTGGAATTGAAATACATAAATATTCAAGTCTTTTAAAAATATCAAAGCAAGTTAGAAATTGGTTGAAGTTAATTATCTTAACACTTTCTAAGACAAGGCTACGAACTAGTCGATAGTCTCAGCGGTCAAACAGCTTTCACATTGTGAACGAGAGAATAAGCGAATCATAAGCTGAAGCTTGAATATATATATAATGAAACTTATGGAGCCGCCCTCGCACTCGCATATAACAACCAAGAGCAAACGAATCGCATTGTCATTGCATTTGTGTCTGCAACATGGGCATATAAATTTTAAAATTGGCGCTGAAACTAAGAGCAGTGCAAACTTTATTTTTAAATTAAAAAATAAAAATGAGGAAAAAAATGGCAAATTGTAAAAGCTGCACGAGATACATAGAAAATAAAATCTGATTAAATTTAATAAAATAAAATTAAATTAAAATAAGAAAAATGTTTATATATTTGAGGGGACTTAAATAAATTTACTTTATGATGAAATTTGTCAGTTATGATGAAAGGTTTCTGGTCTCTAAATTCAATTTTATATTATTTTTATTCATTTTTACAACAACATCCGAATAGGTTTTGCTACAAAAATTATAAAAAAAATATTATAGATCAAAATTATCTGAATCTCTTAACTGCATTTCTTCAATGTTTTTATTATTTAGTATGCATGGACTATGCATTTGTTGACTTAACTAAATTCCTATCAAAAAAGTAACAATTAAGATTAAATCAAGTCCATCCCTTCTCTCTATTAATATATCACGCTCTCTCTCTCTCAGATACACCCTTGCCCACGCAAATATCTCAGCAGAAAATAATAATATAAAAAAGCGTTGCATATGCACGGGCGCTGTGAAAAAATGAGTTTTTTTTGCCTCCATTTGAGTGCAATTTCTCTTCGTTTGTGCTTCATAAATATGAATATATATTTTTTTTAATATGCTCGCAAATGACAAAATGAAATAAAAGATAAATACTCGATACGAGCACAAAAATCACACACAAAATACACACGCATACACTGAGAAAAAACATCAAGAACAACAACAGCAAGAGCAACAATGCGCATTTTAAAAACAAATATAAATAATGCATAAATACGATGACGAACAGCGAGCCGAGTCATAAGACACGACCCATTTAAGTTAAATGCTCACACGGGACCAGTGGTTGTTGCTGCTGCTGATATACCCTGTACTCCAGGTATGCGAACAGAAACTGAGCCTAGACCTGGCACTACACAAAGTGCTAAATGTGGAAAAATAAATTGAGTTTAATTTAAAAAATATATGCACATATAAATAATAAAATTATATATATTATTTACTTAATAAAATATATTATCTACTGCCCAATGCTCGCTTACAAACCGTTTCAGATTATATAAATAATTGAGATTTTCAGATTCAGATTTAGTGACAAATCAATTTGTTATCTCGCTTATATTTATATAGATAATACAGATATGTATATATCTTTTTATGTATATATTCTATATATCTCTTTATAGCTGTTTTCTCGATTTGCTATTGATTTCATGTCTTATTTTCGTTTTGCTTTTAGTTTTCAATTAATATTGGAGCATAAATAAAGAGTTTTTAAAGTGTACGGAACTTGAAGTGCGGGTTTTTATTTGCAGGGTAACTGCCAGTCGAGTCACACTTATTCGTTTGCTGTTGTTTTTAAGCTGTGGCGCGTTGTCATGAAATATTCATGCCAGATATTTACATGAGAGGCATTAATTTTGCAATTTCATTGGCGCTTGTTATTATTATTATCATTTTTTATGCACACTTCGTCTTCTTCTTCTACTGTTTTTTTTTTCATAAGCATCGCATAGCGCTAAACGGCGCAAAATTGATATATGACACTCCTTTGCCCGAAGCCCATAAATATGCAACAAACGACATGGAATTTCATGTGGCAGCTGAGAAACATTTTTGAATATGATTCGTTAACGTTTGACGAATGACATAAATAAATATATCTATATCTTTTTCTATATATGCATCAGAATCCATTCCTATATCTATATCTATATCTATATCTATATCTATATCTATATCTATATCTATATCTATATCTATATCTATATCTATATCTATATCTATATCTATATATATATATCTATAGCAGAACAAAACTTTCAGTAATCTATAGCAAAGTAACGCTCACAATTTAAATTACGGAGCCCCGGAATAAATGTGAATCAATGTTTTGTTTGCATTATTAAGCCTCGATTCACATTTTGCATGCACAAATAAATTAGTCAAATATGATTTACACTGATTTGTAGCCAGCATCCGTCCACAAAAATTGATGAATATATATATATATATATATATATATATATATATATATATATATATATATATATATATATATATATATATATATATATGGACTTTTATAGTGGAAAAAGTAATATAAATCATGGAAAAACCAAAGCCTGAATCTATGAAGAGGAGATTGAGGGTGCTTTGCCATTTGAGCCATTAAGTTTTTGCTTGAACAATTGAGATTAGTTGAAAATATTCGTATGTTAATTAGTTGCGGGACCCGGAGGGACCCTGATTATAGATACCTACTGAGGACATCCCAAACGAAATCAATTAAGCGTATGAGCACATGGAGCTCAGCTCGTTGATGGATATTTTATGGATACATATGGCATTACTGACCAGCCGCATCTGACCCCAATGCCTGCCGAGTAGACTGTAGGCTGGTGGCTGTTGGGTGGAGGGGGAGTTCACGGCTCCGCCATTATTGGATGCCATTTTTGATGCTGCTTTGTTTCCGCTTCCGCTGTGCACCGCATGACGCAATATGCGTGGACAAAGCGATCCGCTTTTGTTGTTGTTGTTGTTCTTGCTGTTTTTATAATATCTCAATTGAATTGACATGACAATTTCAATCAATACACAGCACGAAATTGCACAGAGTTATTTATTTATGACAGCACTCGTTAATCCCACAACAAATATGACAATTTCCATATGAAATACGCGAATTATGCCGGAACACCGCAAAGAACAAAGATTGAAACTAGCAATGCTTGCTCTGGAGCAGCCCAGTCGCCCAGCAACATATTTACTTGCATCTACAGAAATTAAAGACAATTATGTTGATTCACTTGAGTAGTTACCCGGTCGCACCTTTATAGCTCTTATGCTTGCGCCTATCTGTTACATATGTAAGCATTCGAGTGGAACACTAGATGAATAACATATTACACAATGGGTAGATGAATGGCCAGATGGCAAAATTAAAAAATAATTCAACAATTACGAATTCTTTTCCTTTTGCGCGGGCATTAATTTAAATTTCCACCCTAGCGCCATCTACAGTCAGCGATAGCGGCTAACAAAGCTAGCTGTTGTGTGATTAACACATGTTAAAATTCTGACTTATTTAAAAGGCTCTAATATCAAGTGGTACGCGAGCGCCATCTGCAGTGCCAACTACAAACTGTTACGGATACATGTTAGATTTTAATTATAAAAAATATACAACGGGAAACATAGATATAATAGAGGCATAAAGTCTCTTATTAGACATTTCAGGTACTTTGAATTTTCAAATTTGCAGCACACATAATAAACAGATTTGCTCCACATGTTAACAACTGAGCTTAGCCGACGCTGTTACGAATATCGCCCATCCCTAACTGCACTATCAGCTGTTTTGTTGTTTGGTTATTTTTTTTTTTTTTTGTCCTTTACTGATAAGAAGCGACGCAATTAGATTGTACCAATAAATGCAAAACTTCGCTCAAAATGAGCGGCAACATACACGGCATCAGTTGGTTTCCCAACTTCCCCGACAAGTTTGTCTCATGGGGCCAGGAAATCAATTTATATGAAGTGCGCAGCAAGGAGGACTTAACACAGAAAAGTCGCCTGACCAACATTCCGGGCAACTATTTGTCCAACGAGACACGCTATCAGTACGCCCGCTGCGTGGCCACCTCCTACCACAGTGACCAGCCGATTATTGCCGTCGGCCTAGCCGATGGCAAAATCGGCATCTGTAACTTTCGAGACACCTACGACAGTAGCTGGGAGTACAGTACGGAACCGATTACGGAGCGCTTTATGCATTTATCGATTGACTTCCTTATCATCCTTTGCAGCGCCCCGACAACAGCGCATGTGCACTTGCCTTGCGTGGAATGAGCTGGATGCAAATATACTGGCCATTGGCCACGATCGACATCGTTCCGATTCCTGCATCACGATTTGGGACATTGAACACGGCGTTCCCAAGGAAACATCTAATTTCTTTGGCCTGGCCGAGGCGGCAAACTCTCTGTGCTGGGATCACAATCACCGCATGCTCATAGCTGGCATGAGCCAGAAACTGATCAAGCTCTTCGATCTGCGGCGTAATTGAAACGAATATGTTAAGCTGATGCCATTATCTCTTACTCTTCTTCTTCTTGTTTGTGTAGAGAGCAACACCACCTGCCAGTCCATTCAAACGAAGACAGTGCAGGGCTTATCCGTGGCGCCCAATGGGAACTACCTGTGCAGCTATGTGGACTCGCTTATCATGCTATGGGATCTGCGCGCCATTGAGCGACCATTGCGACAGATTCAATCGTCAAGGAATCACATGCAGATTAGCTGGTGCCCCACCCGCACGTCGCTGCTTTCGTCGCTGCAGCGCGACTCGCCGTACATCACGCTCTACGATATTCGCAGCGTGGACAACGAGTCCTGCCGGGAGGTATATCATGTGAAGCGACAGATAAGTCCCTTTCCAGCCAAATATCAGCACAGCGGCAAGTTTGCTGCAGTCAATTGGCTTTCCTGGCATCCGCGCGATTTTGAACGAGCCTTGCTGCTGGCGGATGCCCTCAATATATTAGATTTCCGGCTGCCCGCCAGCTTGCATACGGCATATAGCAATCGCAGCAAGCTGCCTCTGCTCATGCAGCGCCCTCTTTATGCGCCAGCTGCAGTTGCCTCCTCCACAATCAGCCAGCAGCCAACTACGAGCAGCTGTAGCACGAACAGTGCCAGCAGCTCTCTCAACGAGTACAACGTTGGTTCCTCTTTGAGCTTTGATTTTCTGGAGCGCGAGCTCTTCGAAGAGGATCTGTTGGAGGAGACGCGACAGCGTGCACTGCAGGACTACGGCATTAAGCCGGATAACAAGCGCTTTGCTGAACAGCATCTGAGTCCGTATCTGCGCAATGTTTGGGCCACCCTTAACAATGTGCACAGCGAGGATCGCTTAACCGGCTTGAAGGCCACGCTCGGCATCAATCTGGGCCATACTTCGGAGGCGCTGATGGCTAGCTCACGCATTGAATCACAGCTGCTGCAGTGGCCCGATGGCATCAATAACTCCAACAAACTTATTTCCTATCGGTGAGCGCAAGAGAGCTGCAGCTTATCTTTGACTAATCATTTGGCTTTCAGGAGCGAACAGCGGGATCTGGCTTTACAGTTATGCGGTTGGTCCTTTGAGCACGAGCTGGACCGCTTCATTGATGAGCTGTACGCGAACAAAGAGTTCAGTCGGGCGGCAATGATCTGTGTATTCCATTTGAAGGTGCTGGCCGCTTGCAATATCTTATCCCGGGCAGCGGACAAGATGCGCGATCCCAGCATGTATCGGATCACAGCGATTGCGTTGTCCAGCTTCAATGCAGATCGCTGCAGCTCCACGTGGCGCAACCAGCGCTCTAGTGCGAACATGCAAATTCAGGATCCGCACTTGCGGGCCATCTTCTCATTCCTTACCATGGAAGCGGACAATTTCGATGCGGTGCTCAGGGAAGAGGGCGTCTCCTTGGCAGATCGCGTGGCCTTTGCCTGCAAATATCTGTCGGAAACGAAGCTAACCGAGTACGTCAAGCAGCGCATTCAGCGTGCCATCGAATGTGGAGATCTAAATGGACTGCTGCTTACCGGCGAATCCTTGGATGGCGTTAATATACTCCAGGCTTACATGGATGCCAGCTTTGACGTACAAACGGTCGCGCTGGTGGCCATCAATTACTTCCGCAACGAGCATTTTGCAGATAATCGCATCCAGTACTGGATATCCAGCTACTTAGACTATCTCAACAGCTGGGGCCTGTGGGAAAAGCGAGCGGAGTTGGATATTAAAATAGAGAATATACGCGCTTCGACGAGAAGCGCACGCACCGTCTACCTATCGTGCAACTTCTGTGGTAAATCTGTGTCGAATGCGCTGCTGGATGAGCCGCGACCACGAAGCACAAGCACCAGCACAAATCGCTTATCTTCATGTCCCAGTTGTCGCAAGCCGCTGCCACGTTGCTCACTCTGCCTGATGCATATGGGCACCATGATAAACACGACCGCTAGCGAAAAGACATCAACAGAGCTACAGGGCAGCTGGCAAATGAAGCCGTTTTCCAAGTGGTTCTCCTGGTGTCAAACGTGTCGCCACGGTGGCCACACCGAGCACATTGTTCAATGGTTTAAGTAAGCTTATTATTAATATTGTAGATGTATTACCCAATCAGTTTAGTAACCCTTTTTGCATTTGTTTGCAGGCAGAATTCGGAGTGTCCAGTGTCGTCTTGCAACTGTCGCTGCTTTGACTTGGACGGCACCAAACCAAACGCTTTGCGTGATATTTCCTAATCGCTCTACAGACTTTCAACTACAATTACATTTATACAACATATACAAAACGCCCACGCCATATGGTTCGCCTTAAACTGACAAGTGTTCATTGTACTTAGACAACGGCAAATCTGCCCGTAGCTTAAGTTTATTATGACCTACAGCTTTTAGCTGCTCAATTGCATTTTATACCTACATAGATCAAAATAGAAGCACACATGTACATGACGAATGGAATCCGCCAAAGCAGTTCAATCAATTCAAATTCAAAATATTTTATATACTTACAACACTGGCACAAATTATTTTATCGATTATCGATAGCAATACTTTGTTGTATTAAATGTTTGCTTTATTTTGTATCTAACTTTCAAACAATATTCATAATTAATGATTGTAGTCTTATTAAGGTATATCTACCGATTCTTTAAAAACCTTATTCTGGATATTGGCACCTGCTGTTTAAATAGAGAGATTCGCTGCTTTTGGTTTTTAAAAACATATGATTTTTGTTTGCGTGATAAATGAACTAAGTCTATGAACGATAATCGCTCGGTTCCTTCGGTTCAATAGTTTATTCATTTGAACCAATGTTAAAATTTGATACAATTCTATTCTACACGTTTTTGTACGCGGATCACACTTCGCATAAATTTATATATTTTTTGTATTCACTTAACTCTAGACGTTGTCGTTTCAATTAAATACTTTTGCACACATATCTATCAATTTCACCAAATTAATTGTTCGCCAGTTCTCGTTCACCAAAGTGGCGAAAGAAGTCGCAAGTGTGTGTGCAGACGTATGAATTCGGAGACAGGCAGACAGATTACAATCAAGGCACGCTTTGTTACGCATTCCTTTGCACTGCTTTTATTATTGACTTTCGGTTGTGGTGTGTGTTTATGTGTTTGTGGGCCGGGAGATAAGCAAGTTCACGTTTTGCTGGTTTCATTTGGAGTTTAAAATCGTGAGTGCAGCTTCTTAATTAAAAATGCTAATAAACGCTGAATACAGCTCGTGGATGGACCGTGCCAAAAATACTTATAAACGTATACGAATATTAATAATAGACCAGAAAAGCCATTTGATGTTCTTCAAATACAAAATACCTTGCAAACAGAAATGTCTGAATATGACGTCGATATTTTGGTTGTTGCTAATATAATTTTTTTTTCAGCCCCAACAATGTGAACTGCGAAAGTTGAAACATTGCCAATAATATCAACCTGCTATCAGCGCGTGACCCTCAAAGATTTTCAGTTATTGTTCGGTTAATGCTAGAGAAGTAGGGATTATCTTGAACATTTAGGAATTACGCGTTTGCACTATTCTATCTTTCCTAACAACAAGAACTTATATATTTGACAGCCATCCTTTTATTGAACACCAAACCCAACTTGAAATACAAACACTCAACGAACGGCTTATTATGTCATTTAACTAAATTTAGATTTTAACGCACGACGCTAAAATACTTTGCATTTGAAGCTCTCTGGCTTAATGCGCTCTCTCGTTCTCAATATTTGTTTTCCCATGCTTTCAATTGCTTCTGTCTTGTCATGCATGTCATAACTGTTTATACCCCAATCATTACTTCCCTATGCCAATTTATATTTATGTTGTCCCAGTTGTTGCTCAGAAAGTGAGCCGGCAAAATGCACAATGAAAACAACAGCAGACAGCTTGTATTTGTGTGCGCGTAGGAAACACCGAGCATTATTGAAAGAGGAAGAGCAAGAGAGGGAGAGAGCTAGACAGAGAGTGGCCAAACAGCTGACGCCATTGAGCAAAACGGCGTCCGTTGAGGGCAAATTCAAATTATTGCAACAGTTATTTATATTGAACGACGCGAGCCGGACGAGCGAGCGCTCTGTGCTCTGCCGATTTTTATTGTTGTTTGCCTCATTATTTAAAATAAACGAAACGATTCCGAACGATACTGAAGCTGTCTAATTCAACGCTTGATTAAACAGAAGCGTTTGTTTGCAAATTAAATATCGTAGTAATGCTTAAAGATAATAAGCCACAAAACTTAAATCAATACCTAAAACTCAATATCAAGGTCAGCAGCTTGAAGACAAATCGACACGGCACTTTTTACTGGTGTCTATATCAACATACATATTTATATTTCTTTTCCTTGCATTTGTCGTTAAACTTATCAGCATAGTTCTCAGCTTAAGCTGTTTAACCAGTATTTGATAAAGCGCATGAACTTGTTTGCCGAAGGACAAGTGCAAATAGCTCCAAGCGAACTTTGATACAAAAGATTTAAGTTCCAAGGCGCTGTTCCGCGTGCGTTACGTGATCCATTGAGAGTTCTTATGGAATTTTATGAGTAGTATTTCCCCAACGTTGTCCTATAGAATATAATAATCAAAATCTTTTGTATGCTTGTCATAGATGCTGTGAAAATATTGGGAATTATTGTAATTGTGAATGCAATGAGTTAGTTCTGTGAGTATGTATTGCAATTTTGTAGTGTAGTGTAATCGTAAACGTCACATGTCTATTTGTTTTGGTGCTGTCATTTGTGTATCTACCTGCCAAAAAAAAAAAGAAAAATTTATGAAAATTCATATTGTTTTTGCACTTTTTCATTAACGTCTTATTGAATTGCTAGTGATAAGAATATTATATAACAATCATTAGAGGGTCGAAGATGTCGCGCTTCATTAAGCAAAACCATGCTTACGTCTGGACGGCGGGGAGGGACTCGCAGTTTTTTATTTTTTATTGATTCGCTCAGTCGTAAATAGTGCCCAGTAAATTACGGAAAGTGCACACAACGTAATGTTAGTAGTTAACCTGGACCTTAAAATGGGCTTTGCATTTGATCTCTTCTTACAGTTTGATGTTAAGCAGTCATCCATGGTGCAACGCCTAACGTAAAACGCAATCCGAAAAGAAAGACACTGAAAGATCCACACAGACGACCTACCATTATCCATCCAGTGAATATATTCAACAAGACAGAATGTTACGCAATACGGCTTTCTCCGGCACGCCCACATACAAATTACTATTAGGCTTTGGTCTATGTTCGCTGGGCAGCGCCATGCTCTATGCTTACTTTAAGTCCCGCAATGACGACAAGGATGAAACGAATAATAAGAGGACAAATGACCAGAAATCAATGCAGCAACCGAAACAACAGCAAAAGGAAATCTGCCTCAAAATCGTTGTGGACAATGACCATGTACCTTTGATAATTGGACGCGGCGGTGCCAACATTAAACTAATTGAAGAGAAGACCGGGGCAAAGATAAGATTACGGTAAATATTTAACACTAGTCTTAAGAAAAATTAAAAAGTAAATACATTTAGTGTGAGTCGACGGTTTAATACCCTCTCCCTCTCTCTGAGTTATAGATATCAAACAAAAAATAAATAAAGATTCTTAGTTAATAATGAATTTATTTCTTAATCGTCGTATACCACCTCTCATTACTATTCCCAGCGATAAGGATAATTCCCACAAATTCTGCGACATTAGCGGCTTGCCCGATGCAGTTAAGGCCGCCCGCGTTCTGCTCATCAAGGAGATTGAACGTGCGCCTATTGTCAAGATGGAGCTGCAGGTACCACAGCGCTTGGCTAATAAGATCAATGGACGCGGTGGCGAGATAATACAGGATATTAGTCGAGCATCATTGGCCAAGCTCAGCATCGATCCAAATGGTCGCAATGGCAAGGCAAAAATCAGCATTGTGGGCAACCAGAAGCAGGTGAACGTTGCTCGCAAGCTGCTAGACGATCAGATTGAAGAGGACGAGCAGCTACGGCTGGCTGTCGACGAGGTGGAACAGCATCGCGAACCCCGACGTTCGCCCAGTTACAGTCTTGCCTCCAGTATGTACTCATCGCAGACATCGCTCAGCTCACAGCCGCCTAGAGACAAGCTAATGGCCGCTCGTGGAGATGACAAGCCGATGGAAGTCTACGTCTCAGCAGTTGCATCGCCTACAAAGTTCTGGGTGCAGCTAGTGGGACCGCAGTCCAAGAAACTGGATGACATGGTCAAGGAAATGACCTCCTACTACAGCATTGCTGAGAACCGAGCAAATCACCAACTAACGACACCATATATTGGTCAGATCGTGGCCGCCGTCTTCAAGTTCGATGAGAAATGGTATCGCGCCGAGATTGTTGACATTATGCCCAACCAGTACAATCCAAATGAACAGGTTATCGATTTGTACTTTGTGGACTATGGCGACAGTGAATATATTTCGCCAGCAGACATTTGTGAACTACGCACCGATTTCCTAACACTAAGGTTAGTATATAAAATATCATGTGTCATATACGAATCCCATATTAATTGCTCCTCAACTGTTTTCAGATTTCAAGCTGTTGAATGCTTCTTGGCAAACGTCAAATCAACTATAACTGATGAACCGAACACGTGGCAAAAGGCCTCTATATCCAAATTCGAGGAATTCACAGAGGGTAAATATTCTTCTCCATTTCTTTTCGAATCGCAAATTTTTATAACTACTATGTCTTGAACAAACAGTTGCACATTGGCGAAAGCTGATCGCACGTGTTGTTACTTACAAGGACCGTCCAAAAGTGACGAGCGCAGTCAATGCGGCCACACGCGATGGCACTCCTCTGCCCGGCGTGGAGCTGTTTGATCCCACCGAGGGCGCCGAGGTGAACATTGGCGATATGTTAATAACGCAGGGCTTTGCTCTGCCACTGGATGATGCGTATCCGGTGAGATCGCGTTCCACCTCGCCATCGACACAAAGTGATTCCACAATTGAGGAGCTGTGTGCCACTAATACGCCCCGTACGCCGCTTACACCACTATCGCCTATGTCACTATCAATTTCAAATGATGCGGAAAGTGTGGAGGATGCACACTTTACCAATCAGTTGCACCACTTGGGGCACAAACTTAACGGCAATGACTTAACCCATATCAATCCAATTCAACTAACCACAGACGACATACAAAATAGTAATGGACAAGCCATCAATAGCTCACATAGTGATGTGACCCGCTAATGCAGATTGGCGCCTTTTAATTCTCAAAGTTAGTCTAAGCTAAGTTCTCGCCTTATGATAATTGTGTGTAGTCATTGTAAAAAGGCAGCTCACTATTTGATATGTATATACTATTAAAAAAAGTTAAAAGGTAAAACAAAAAACAACTGTATAGACTATAAGTAATTAAGGTATTGAAAAAATTTCTTTAATTTATCATACGAAATTTGACTGTTTCCGTGCATATGAACAAAAAACATTTTCTAAGTTATTGCAACAGCATAAATCTTTATTTCTTGTTTATTTAAAAGATATGCCATGTTACTTAGGCTGACATCAGATGTACCAGATAACTGACTAAATAATTTGTATTTAATATAAATTGTACTGGATTATTGCATTATGCCAGATATCCGTGGCACGTCAGAGCCCAGCTTTAGCGTTAGTTCACCGATGTAAAAATAAAAAGTGTGTACATCAGCCCGAAATACAATTTACAAAACATTGTTATACTTAATACTATTGCAGTCTTTAATGTGCTTAGAATAGACCATTCAGATGAGTATATCGTTGGTAGTGTTAATAGCTATAGGTGGCAAGTAAATTGCTCGTATCTGGCTGCGCAGGCGTGCTATTTCCATGTCGTCGCGCTCCATTTCGCGTATGAGCTGCGAGAATTGGACGAGACCCTCTCGATTTCCGGGAAAGCCGTGCACCTTGATTACCTCTAACTGCAGCTGCATTACCAATGGGAAAACGTGCTGCATCATAAGAATCATTTCTTTGCCTGCTGACGCTTTTGCTTCAGAAAGTTTTTTAGAATTCTCCGGCTGATTTACTGTGCGTATTATGTCCATAAGTATTTGTTTTGCGCTGTCATTATTAAAACTGGCAAGGTAAGACATATCTAACTAATTATAATTATATTTTTAATTTTATTTTTGTATTATGTTTAAGCGAACACCACAAATAAAATTCTCCTATATTTCACGCATATACACATACAAGCCCACCTTGCTCTTTGCCACTCACATAAAACTGGTCATTCACAATGAGGCGCGTTAGTAGTGCTGTTAAATGCCTAAATCTAAACAGCTGTTCTTTGGTGCACACTTCGAGTTAATTACATTTAAAACAGCAAAACTGTATACGCTGACCTAAAAACATTTTATTATACATAAATATAATTTTGTTTCTTGGTTAAGAAGTGCAGCATCAATTGTGGTGTAAGATGTACTATAACCGTGGCTTATGATTCAGTTCATCGTGCGCGGCATTGCTCAACACTAGACGAAAAATGTCACGTCGGAGAAACAGAAAAGACACAAAAAATATATTATAAAGCTCATTATGCGCAAGTATTTAAATAGATACAAAATAATATAAAAATATGCAATTGTATATTTAGTATGTGCTTTAATTAATTCGATAAAATTGTGAACGTAAATTGTAAAGTTTTTAATAAAATATATAAACAACGAAGACGACGTAGTTTGTGGGTGCATCTCTTTAGTGCGAAAAAACAAGAAGCGGAAAAAGTGTGACAAAACCAAAAAAAAAAAAAGTCAGCAGAACTTGCAGTATAATAATAACACACAAAGTAATAACACCGAACCACATACACATACAAACACCCACACCAACACTTAGACACCAGTACACAACAGGCAGCAAATAGGAGGCAGGTGGCAGCTCAGTCAACAATTGTGCCACACATACAAAAAATAAAAAACCACAAAGAATTATAAACATAATGAATCGCAGCGACGGCTTGGTTAGGCGCGCTGTCAAGCCACGCGAGAATGGAGCCGAGGGCGGAGGCGCTAGTGGCTTGAATGCAAACACACCGGATGACAATCAGGACACGCATGACAGCAACAAGGATCAGGAGGATAACATTGATGATGGTGACTCAAAGGAGACACGACTTACGCTTATGGAGGAGGTGCTACTGCTTGGCCTTAAGGATAAAGAGGTACGTTGCTTGCCTGCTGTCTGATAAAACGCCTTATCAGCTGCCTGCATATAAAACATGTTAGAAATTTTAACAAATGTTTATCTTTAGTTTATCTTATGTATATTTCTATGTAACCGCGCTCTCAGTTTTATCTTCCTTCAACACTAACGTAAACCGAGTTTCCAACAATTTAATAAGCAGCTTCCGTTATTGTATTCTGTTTTGGCTATTTCTCGCTCTTCTTTCACTTATTCGCAGTAGGCAGACCATCGAGTAGCTCATCATCAGTAAAGCTTCAAGCGTGCTGCCTGTTGCTGTTGTAGGCTTAATTGAAGATGCATTAGTTTTGTTGAAGTTGTGTGCAATAAGCTTTAAAGCTCAAACTCCGCAATTCTGTTAACTGTATATGTATAGAGACAAAAACAACGAACGAGTTTTAGCAGCAAGGCTATCAGAGATATGCTTTGGCCTTCTTCGTTGCACAGTTTATCGCTATTTAACCACACAGTGTGACAAAACGCAATTGTGTGAAAATTGTGATTTATCAATTGGCATAATTGAAAATAAGCCCATACATCAAACGCCTAACTCTGGATTATCTATTCAATTGCCTGAAAGCTTTATGCTAAATACGATCACTTGAGCTTTTCGACTTAACGCAGTAAAAGCTCTGACTCTTAAAGATCTTCGAAACCTTTGACTTCTGAGCCTATAGTCAAAATTCCATTAGACTGAGCTTACGCTTGCTCAAACAAGTTTTGACAAGTCTTTCACTCATATTCACCTCGTAAGGTGTTTGCTTCATTTGCATAATTGCGAAATACTCATTAATCTCGCACATGTTTGGCAACAGCTGCCGATTCCAGAGGCTCAATGTGTGCCACAATATACCATACGTGCCCGTATAGGGCATGCAAATAATTCTCATTCTGCCTTTACCCCATGCAATCGCATGCTTTATTTGCCTCCCTGTTTTATCATCTCATTCTATGTGTGTGTTGTGTGTGTGTACAGAGCTTGCTTCCAAACTCACCCACCACCCCCAACAAGTCATGGAATTTCGACGTGTCGTTTTCCACTTGTTCGCTTTGATCGTTTTGTCTCGCACTGAATTGGTTTCTTCTTTCATCTGTTGTTTCCACAACTTTTCTTATCAGCTAGTATTTTTTTGTTTTTCTTTTTTTTCCCTTTCATTTAGTTAATTATTTGAGGAAGTTGCTGTAGTCCGTCCCTATTCTTATTTATGTACCCACTTATCGCAAATAACGTCATTACCGAAATTGTTTTTATATACCGCTAAAAGCGAGCAAACATGTCCACCATTTGAATGAGAATGATAATGGAAAGTCGTTGTTGCAGCCCTCGCAATAACGCACTGTGACTCACTAATTTGCGCAATGGTTATTAGTTAAAACATATGTATTTATATAATTATATCAATATATATATATATTTTATATATATATATATATATGTACACATATATATCAAATGTTACATTATACAATTTTATGGCTCGTTAGCCGCGTACTGCATTTAATTTTAGCTTAAACAAATTCAACTGTTTAAACTTTGAACAGTTGCTAACGACAGCTGTAAAAAGTCGGTAATAATTCACGCTCGTGGCAGCATAGCCCAAATTCTATTCATATATTAAACTGGCATTTAAGAATATAATCCTATTAACAGTTATCATCTTATGACTGTAACTGGTAGTAAATTAATCTCTACTATTGAACTTTATTCATGCTTTATTGTTCACAACGCTGATGCATTAGAGTGCTTTATCCTAAATCTAAAAGCGTAGATTTTTATAAGTTTATGTAGTGTACTGTAGGTAAATAATATGGAAATGGGAAAGCTGTGAAAACTATATCGAAGCTAAGAAGAATACGTTTAATTTTAAACATCAAAGATCGATTAATGATGGTTAAACAATACTCAAGTTTCACTTATAACCCTACAATTGTATGCGTATATAACAGGGTTACACATCTTTCTGGAATGATTGCATATCAAGCGGCTTGCGTGGATGCATTCTCATTGAGCTGGGCCTGCGTGGGCGTGTTATGATCGAGAAATCGGGCATGCGACGTCGTGGCTTGTGTACAAGGTATCAACATGAATCTTATTAAAAAATGATACATCATAATCGAAACATAATATGTGAATTGTGATTACAGAAAGTTAATACTGAAATCGGATCAGCAAACTGGCGATGTTTTGTTGGATGAGGCACTGAAACACATTAAGGAAACAGATCCACCAGAGACTGTGCAAAGTTGGATCGAATATCTGAGCGGTAAGTGCTTAAATTGGAAAGGAAAAGAAAAACACCCAATTGATTGTAAACTTTCTATTGTTGCAGGTGAAACTTGGAATCCGTTGAAGTTACGCTACCAGCTAAAAAATGTTCGCGAGCGTCTAGCCAAGAACCTCGTCGAAAAGGGTGTTCTCACAACGGAAAAGCAAAACTTTCTGCTCTTCGACATGACGACTCATCCGCTCAGTGATAATGTGGTTAAGTGCCGTCTGGTCAAGAAGGTAAGTTAAGATACATTAGAGCGTATCAGTGCTTAAAGTAATCGGACAATATTTATTACAGATACAAGATTCGGTACTTTCCAAATGGGTGAACGATCCGCAGCGCATGGATAAGCGAATGCTGGCACTTATCTTTTTGGCGCACGCCAGTGACGTCATTGAGAATGCGTTTGCGCCGCTCAACGACGATGATTACGAGGTGGCCATGAAACGAGTGCGCGAACTGCTCGACCTCGACTTTGAAACAGAGGCGGCCAAGCCGAATGCGAATGAAATACTTTGGGCTGTGTTTATGGCGTTTACGAAATAGGGCGAATGTCTAATTCTACAACCCCTCCCTAAATCTGGCACCACAGCAGTCACCAGCGGCACACACACACATACACACACCCAATACAGCCACACACACAATCAACACGCACACTTACACTTACACTTACACCTACACTCCAAGATTTTCATCTTTGGCTGCTTGTTTTCACACCGAAATGGGTGATTTAAATGCGCCCAAGATTCGGATTTATTTCAGTTAATTTAAAAATGATAGTGTGAGAGAGGCGCTGGTTATAGAAACAGATATGTATATATATTATTTTCTATATTCCGCCCTAATATCCGATGAAAAATTTTTCGTTTTATTTCGTTTATTTTTTATTATTATTACATTTCGCAATTTAATTTATATAAACGAAATGCTAGCTATTAGTTGACTTTTACTAACAATTATATGCCGTATTATTCCATAAATTGTGTTCTATGTAATTTGCAACAATTTCGGCATGCGAATAAACAATATATCAAAATTGCATCAGAAGAGTCGTCGTCGCTTAAACATAATACAAATAATTAAGTTGTATACAGCAAGGATAAATGATATATTCAATATTTTGAGCTGCGATCGGTTTTTTATGTAATTATATAAACTTAACATTAATTGTAAGAGCTAATTCTGATGCAACCATATGAAAATGTTTAGAAAAAAATCTGTCGTCTGTGTGCACTGTCTGTTTGCCAACGATGTTACGATTCAATTTAAATTAAATAGATTTTTTTTGTAATTTGGACAACAATTTTAGAACTAATACACAGGGCGACAGATTGTGAGAGGAGCTGCATCTTAGGCAACATTTATTTAATTGTTATAAATTTCGGGAACATTGAAATCGAAAACTTTTCTAAACATACCAAACGAAAGAAGGAAAACTATAAAATTTATGTAAATGTAAAATGTGCACGTCAAATAATAATAAATCTAGATATTTAAAGGCCTAATAAATACAATACAATATAAATATAAATATATAAAAATATATATAATTTTAAATTATATATATATATATATATAAATATCTTTTAACTACCTCTTTTTTAAACTATATGGTACAGGCTTTCAGTTTAGGAAGAGCTATCAATTTCAGCAAGGGGTAGAAAACAACAACAACGAATACGAAAGGAACATTGATTAAAAACGCATAGTAGTTACTCAGGATAAATATCATAGGGTTTTTTCCCGATTCATGAGGTATAACACCTCTGCCAGTTCTACAAGTAAATTCCTTGGTAAATTCTTAAAAAAATCTGTTAATAAATATTTGTTTGTTTATTAAAAACAACCAGTCAAATGGAAACGACATTTTTAGCTTTTTAAAATAAAGTTTTTTATTTCTTTTTCAATAGTTCTTTTTGCACAAAGATTTTTGGGTTGTAAAGTAGAGGGGTCGCATATACCGATTAAATATTAAAATAATTCTCACAAGAAATTTATGGTTATTTATAGATATTAATAATCATTTGAATTACGATACAAAAAGTACATTACGCGCGGATAACCAAATATTGCATAGTAGCAAAAGTATGAAATTGTTTTTTCTCTTCCAATTTCCTTGTTGTTTAGAAACTCTTTAATTTCTATATCGTTAATCGATGTGTATACAATATTTATTGCATCAGGCCTTATTCACTGTTTCGTGTTGAACTACGAAAATTTCTCGTGTAACTGTGGTGCTGACATTTTCAATTTTATTAAAAATATCCAAGTTAATTGAACGGAAAATTTGAAGAAAGAACAAATAAACTCGAAAATAATTTGTCTAATTGCAGTTGCTCGTTTAACAAATGTTTATAGCGCAGAAATACACACACAAACACACATGCACACATACACAAGCATATGGAATACTTAAGATTGACAAACAATATAGAGAACATGCAAAATGTGGAAAGTTTAATAAAAGTTAATGGAAGATTTGTAACGCTCGAAATGATTTCGCGGCTAAATGTTTATATGTATATATATATGAATATGTATGTATAATTGAATTTATGTCTGCTCTATATGCTATAAATATGCCAACGTGCTCATTTAAACCGACGACTGCTAAACGAGAGACGGCGCATGCGAGCCCGATTCTGTGAGTAGCTTCTGGACCACCGCTCCTCAGTTCCGTAGCTGCTGGCAGTCGACGATTTATGTGAATTGCCTACGTGCTAACTTAACAGGTCCTTGATCTCCTTGTGCATGTGGCACAGGAAATCTACATAACTAGCCGAGCCATCAGTGCCCCGATCCTCGATAAGAAAATGCCGAAATACACTTTCAAGCTTATCGTTCTGCCGTACACAGGTGACCTGCAAGGATCAAAATGAGGTTAGTAAATTGAATATTAGCTCGCTTGTTTAATCTGCACAACTTACCCGCATGTAACGCGTACGTTCTTCCATAATCTGATCAATGATGTTCGTAATGCGACGTGCTAGCGGCGTATCGGCGGTGATTGCGAAACGTTCGGCATTCACTTGCTGCGTGCATTGGACACCAAATATGGATTGTACAAATGTGGGCGACAAAGACTGGCCCAGCCAAATAAACAGATGCACACCGTTCTCCAGTATATATGCACCATCCTCGGTGATCTTTTCATGTGTGCAGCGCACAGGTGTTGGCAGCGACGACTCATCGATCTCCACGGTGTGTATGGGAATGAAACGTGGATACAAATAGTTGACCGACATATTCAGATCCATGGCTAACACAAATTGTATAACATAGGAGCGATCATCGAGAGTCATATCGGAGCCTCCAGAGACGGCATCGTTCTTCAGCAAACAAGACGCGTACAGTGGCAATAGCTTCAGGCACTCGGGTAGTATCAATTGTCCAGCGGATGTCGGCGATGTGCAGTGCTTGCGATAGCAGGCCAAAATCTGTGCGGATCGCTGAATGAGATTGTCCTTGACCTGTTTGGGCGAGTGCTCCATCAGCTTGAAACACGCCTGCTTCGCAAAGAAAAGCATCATGGCGTCTAAGTCACAGCTCTTGAATACATCCGCTATAGTAACAGTTACGCGCAAAGCTAAATTCAATATGCGCAGACGACGCTGGCCACTGCATGATGTATACAGTAAGGCCACCTGTAAGTAGACATTTTCCTCCGGCGGCAACTTATCATCATGCTTGATTTCTATGCTCACCGACTTGGACGCATCTGTAAAAAGAAAAAATAATTGCTGTTAGTTAAGCATGTCAGAGAGATTTGCTCGCCTGCAACTTACCAATGCTCGCAAGCTCCACGTCAGTGGTATTAGACATGTAGAAGTGTCCGAAGAATTCGGTGGGCCGAATGCCTGCCGAGGTGCGGACGCGCATCACTGCATCAAACGCAATCGGACGTGATACATTCTTAATGATATCCTCAATAAGACGCTTGCCATCGAGCTCTGCTTGGAAGTATGTATACTTGTAGACCTCGCCACCAGTCAGACGCGACACTTGACCGATGGTAGCAATGTCAATGTAGGCATTGTTGAACACAAACAGATCAACGGAACAGCCCTGCTGTACGCATTCCTGTCCAAGCTGATTGTACACTGTCGTTTGTGGTGTCAAAACCGTCTTCTCCTTGTCTGTGCCAAGCAGCTTGCGATCATCGCGATTCTTGAGCTTGCCTGGTGCGTCAGCGATAGGCAGCGTTGAGTTGAACACCAATAGCTTACCAGAGGCATTCGATGCCTTAAGCGCTTCCAGACCAGCCTGTATAGCTGGATAGAGTATAGTTTCTGTTTCCTTGGTGTCAACGAACATGCGCGGTATTTCCTCCATTAGAGCATCGATCACCGCCGCCGACTCCTCTGGATGACAGAGGAAACCATCAAGCAGTGGCATAAACATCTCCTGTACATCGCCCACAACCATCATCTGGGGCTGGGCTAAGTTGCTTTTGATGTTGTAGAAGTGAACAGTGCTGTTATAAGTTATGAAGCCGACGCGCACCTTTGACTTATCCTGACCCTGGTCCACTGGCAAATGCTTGAGTATGTTCTTAATCTGCGAGCAAAGCAGATGCACCAATCCGGATTTGACCGTATTGTACGATACATCTATGATGAATATAAACGCGGGCACCTCTGGCGCTGTATTGTTCTAATAAAAAAAAAAAGGAAATTTAGAAAAAATTAACAGCCAATAAAATAGTGAAACCTACTCGACAGTAATCCTTTGTGGCGAGAAATTCGTATGTACCCAAAAGCAGTTCCGGTCGCTCATGCTTGTCCACGCGCTGTCCGGTATGATCCAAGTGCTGATAGTAATCAGGATGCACTATAAATAACAATTTTACATTTTATTCAATCTTATGAGTTCAATGTATATAGTGTTCACCTTCCGTTGTAACCTTGCACATAAGGCACTGGAAACGACGACCAGCATCCACGAACTGCATGTTGGGCGACATGTAGGCCTTGCAGCGATTGCAACGTATTGGGCCCATGTCACCAAAGTTTACAATTGGCGGTTCCATTTCGCCTTTGCCAATGCGAGCCAGCGGTGAAATATTGAGGGTTAGGGGCAGTGCCGTCGTCTTCAACAAGTCACCTGTATTGGGTATGCAGTAGAGAGAGGAGCGCATAAAGCGCGGGGACGAGTTGCCCTGATCATGCACCACAAACTTTGTGGTCACCAGCGGCGGCAATAAACCTGGCTGGTTTGTTACAAAGACTCCACCAGCTGCTTGCTGATTTTCAATCATCACCTGTATAGGATTTGGCATTTGATCGGGATCCAGGCGGCGCGGCGGTGCCTGTTGATACATACTACCAGCTCCCGGCATGGGCGGCTGCTATAACAATAAGTTCATGTTATATTAATAAAGTAACAACCAGATGAATTGTCCTTCTTTAGCGTTGACCATAGATACTTACATTATAGCCAGGGCGGCCGGGTCCTGGTTGTCCAGGATAGCTGCCAGGCTGAGGAGGATAGCCGGGCACAGGCTGCTGCATTTGCTGTCCGGGCTGTGGCGGATAGCCGGGCATTGGCTGAGGTGGATAACCAGACATGGATGGCTGCTGCAACTGTTGCCCGGGCTGCGGCGGAAAGCCGAGTGCTGGCGGTGGAGCTGCGCCAAACTGTTGTGACGCTGTCTGCTGTCCTGCTAACGGAGGTGCACCTGGAAATGCAGTTGAAGCCGGAGCCGGAGCTGGTTGACCAGCATATGAGCCTTGAAAATTGACAGGTGGTGGCACTCCATACGGTATAGAACTTGAACCACTAACAGGTGGCTGAGTCACCATGCCAGGCTGCGCGAATGCAGCTGCAGAAGCACTGCTTGCTGCTGGACGCTGAGGTGGCATGCCAGGCTGCGCCAATGCGGTTGGTGCAGCGGCACCAGGCGGCAACAGCGGTTGATTAGGTCGTCCATATGCGCCTGTCTGCGCTACTGGCGGTAGTGGCTGCATAGTAGTTGTGGATGTTGGTGGCAACTGTTGTACAGATGGTTTTGGTGGCATGTGCGGCAAACCAGCCAAGCTGGCGCTATTGAGTGTCATCTGATTAATGCCGCTGGGCACGCTCTGTGGCATTGATGGAGTTACTGATGCCGACTGAGCCAAGGGGGGCGCCGCTGATGTGGGCGGATACATCGAAGGCGATGGCGATGGCCCAACCGCTGCTGCTGGTCCAGCTGAAGATACTGGCGGAGCCGGAGACGGAGCTGTCGAGCCATTTGCATAGGCTGCAGCGTACGCATTGTTATTGTTATTAAAATTCATGCCTGAACCAACAAGAGGCATTGGCTGCGACGTTGGCGTAGCATTCGAGTTGAACTGATTAAACGGGGCCGATGGCGCACCAACAGCAGGTCCAACTCCAGCTGTGGGCATGGGAATGGGTGGTTGTGAGGGCTTCAAGGGATTAGCACTCACACTCAGGCCAGACATCGACGTGGTCAACTTTGAAAAGGCAGCCAAAGACGAAGAACGAGAGAGACAGGGAGATATAGATAGAGAACAAAATTAACGACATGCTAAAGCAATTCAATTATGTGTACGCTCTTATCAGACAGCTTCCATTATGAAAGCCTAGTTGACCTCTTTAGAGTGACTGCTACATGAGTAAATAAAAGAAACGCTATCGTCAGGGCATACAACTTGAACTTATTACTTGCTGCAGTCACCTAATTGGTAGACATTCATTTGGAGCCTGGATGTGGAACACTTGGTTTTAAGAGCTTAAGCTCACCTGCTGATAATTGCCATTTACATATGGCTGTTGAGCAGATGTCACTGGAGCGCCATATTGTTGTTGTTGTTGTGTTGGTGGCTGCTGTTGTGGCTGTTGATGTGGCTGCTGTTGTTGCGGGGCTGCCTGCGACTGCAGCGGTTGCTGCTGCTGTTGTTGTTGTGGTAGCCAACCCGTCGGGCCCTGTGGCGGCCCCGCTGGGTATTGTGGTTGAAATTGTGTCGGAGGTGGACCATACATGTTCGGATTCATATCTTTAAATATTGGTATGCCAGCAGCAACTCAATATGAGCACATAAAACCGTAGCAACAACTTTCACACAGACACAACACACTCAAATTGCAGCTCAAAGTTCGCGTTCTCGTTTTCACGAATTTGAACGATTTCAAACGTTGTTTCGCCGAAATTTGTGCTTAGATGCGTTGTCTTGCGATTGTTGTGCAATTATTTGCAGCTTTCGCTGGGAATGAGCGCACAGGTAAAGCAGTTTTTAACAAAAATTCCAAGCAAAACCGAACTTCCACGTCAGTTCGCAAATTCGATTTTTTTTTCTGCTGCTTATTGGTTGCATTTGACAGTTTGCCACGTAAAGTTGTCGCCTGTGCGACATATATCGATATTATTTCACAGATGTGCACTGCTCAGTGACATTGATTTCGATATATGTTGCGCGATATTTTTAAAATACGTTTCGTAAATGTGGTAGAAGTATCTCCCCATCTGTTAACATTTTTTTACCAGTTCTTAATCAAATTAATTAAACTATTATCTTTTAAGAATTGTGACGCAGGGCTCAGTAATATTAGCAAAATAAAAAAAATCTTTGTATCGATATATCGATACCGAACCACTAAAAATACTGCAACACAAATAATCACACCAACTCTGTTTTTCAAGTTTACAGTTACATTTTAAAATGTCAGCGGAAATTTAAAAATGAATTTTATTTATAACTGATGATTTCGGAGACGATTTGCATGCATTGAGTGAATAGACTCACTAAGATATTGTAGATTGGATGGTTGATTTTCAGTCTTATATTGTTTTTTCTCGAAACGCACAGTTGATTGAACACCCTCGAAAAAGCGAAGGCCAGTATGCCGCTCAATCTCGGCTATATCACACAGATAATCGGTCAATTCGGTACTGCTGCATGTTGAATTCAGCTTATTATCTATTATGTAGCCCTCCATATAGGGAACACACTCCGGCAGCTGTGGATCAATAATGAGCACCTTAAAATAATGTGATGGCGTTGGCAACGGAATCCAATCAACAATTTGATATTCCAAAGTCCAATCCTCGTCGGGCCGACAAGATGGCAAGTACATGGGGCCCGTATAAACGTACACCGAACCGAATTTCTCAGTCATTTGGGAAACATGTTTTTCCAGTTTACGCCAAATTTCGAGCTTAAAGGCCTTGCAAACACGCGTGGCCCCGCAGCTTAGCACATAGGCATCATTGTAGCGGAGGTGCAGTGCATCGCCGTCTGCCTCGGTCGTTAGCTTCTTATAGTTGCCCTGCAGATGTTCGCACATCCACTTGGGAGCATTGGTACTTAGGTCCTGCGAGACCACATAGTCTTTGTGCACATATAAATTCTCCATGCTGGGCAGGCCATATTTCATCAGATCAAGCAAATCGGGCGATAGCGACTCTGGTCTCTTAGTAAAAAATATATTGGTAACCATATCAAATAGCGGAACGACCAGATGATCGCGTATTTTGCTTGAAAGACAATTGGAACGATTCCACAATCTCGCTTCATGATCTGTTCGAAATGTGGACAGCTGAACAGGGAAAGGTCATTGATATTGACCATTGATTATCAATATTCCGCTATCGAAACATATAAAATATATACCTACGAGTGGATACAGTTTTCGTCGATGATGAAACACATATGGGTCCGTTTTTATCATCCAGAACAATTGACGAATCGCAATTTCCTGCTGGAAGTAGGCGCCGAATACGAATCCCGTTAAGCCCGCCAGCGCATAGAACGCACAGCTTTGGGCTCCAGGGTCTACAATGTATGACATTATTATGTGTTGCAACTATATTTAGGTAACTATGCTTTTTAGTGGCACCGATTTACTTTTAATTTTGTGTTGATTCTTACAGATCTCAATATACAAGTGACAAACGCTTACAAAGTCATAGCCTCCTAATATTGATTATGTATGAAAAGTATTTTTGTATTTTAATCAGTATTCAGATGTAGTATTGCCACAGCTCTCATGTAGCGTTTTAACGTAACAACTAGGATATTAGCCTCGATGAAATTGATTTTGATTCTGATTTCGAACTTATAAACGTAAAACGTCTTCCTATTTTTTTGCTTTTCATTAATTTAGCCTTCATGTTTATATAATAATTGAAACCTTATCACATGATATATTGAACTTTATTTTTAATATATATATTATTATTTTTAGAATTCATGCAAAATCTCGAAAAACTTGCGATTCACTTGGATAGTTGCTGCCGAAAATTGCACTTCGGCGTATGCCCTGGAAGAAATGAAGACCTGCGAAGTGTTCAATCTCTCGTATATCGCAAAGGAAGTCGCGTAGGGTTGATTGATCCGGTATGGGCGCATTGGGTAGCACATACGCCTCCATATAGGGCTTGCCCAAAGGCAGCCTCGACTCCACCATGATCACTTTGAAGAAGTGCGTGGGCACTGCCACCATACTTGAGCCAATCATTTGGTATTCCACGCTCCATTTACGATTGCCCTGTGCTCGGGGCTTAAACAACGGACCAGTGCACACATAGACCGAACCGAAATTCTGTGTTAGCTCCCTGACATAGATCTCCAGTTTGTTCCAGGCGCCGCTATTGAAGCCCTGGCCTACTTGTGGCGCAATGTTGGTCAGCAAGAAGGTTTCATTGCAGTGTACTTGTTGCTCACGATGATTACCAGCGGCCGCCAGATGACCACGATCAAAGCCCGAGTGTTTATAGTCGGCGAGCGTGGAACGAAAATTCGAAGGAACACTCAAATCTGGACGATAGGTGGCGCCAGCGCGGCCAACGCCCCGCGCACCCTGCAAATTGGCCAATTGCAAGTGCTCGCAGACCCAATGCGCCACGCGATTGCGCCGATCGTAGGACAGAACAAAGTCGCTGTAGAGCCTCACATCATCCAGTCCCGGAAATCCATACTTCATAATTCGCTGCATATTATTCGATGTTTCATTTGCGACGCTAAAGAAACTGAACTGTGGATCAGGTCTTGGAAACTTTGATTAACTTTGATCATTTAATTTGACTGGCATACCACAGCGAAGATCTTCGGACTGATGTAGTAGGCGTAGACATCCTGTTGTATGAGCTGTTGCAACTGCCGTGTTGCATGGCTGTGTTGAAAATAAATTCCAGCCAAAAAACAACTAAATGCAGAGGCCAATCCAAATGCCACGCCCAGCAACAAGTGCCAAGGGCGGCGCATGAATAAAAACTAAAAATAGAGCTGACTGTAAATTTATGCTTAGAGTATATATATGGAATATTATTACAGTGTTACCTGCGTTTTGGTTTTGAACAACTATTCAAGCTTCAGATTAGAATCAATGTACTTCTCAGCGAGATAGCTTTACGCCTTAAGAGCCTCATCCAGTGCTTAGCGCACACAATTTGTCTTTATACAAAATACATAAGTTGTGGTGGGACTGAGGAGATCCTTGATCTGCTATAGGAATTTCATTTCCCCATGTTGAGTAATATCTGTAATTATTTTAAAAGAAACCTTGCTATATTTTATATATTAATATCAGTATATTTATTTTCATCCACAGACGACTACTGCCCACAGGTTCATCTCAACTAAAACACCAGACAAATGTCTGGGCTACACAGAAGGTTAATATGGAACTTACATATCAAATAAAATTAAAACACCTAAATCAACATTAACCTGGCTATAAAACACATTATACAGAACACAATGGCATGTTCGCAACCAAGTCATATACCACAGCAAATAAAAACATAACATTTTTATTTTAATTTGTAACAGTCAACAGATTACATTTGACTACTTTTGAAAATACTACTACTACTATACTATATACTATATACTTTTCTATATAATATGTTCGGGGAACACTTAGAGTTGTCTTTGTTGCAAAAGTGATAAGAAGAAATGCATTATTCAGATTATCACTTATGAAACGCGCTATTATCATTTATTTAAAGATTATTCCATGATATTTTATAGTAATAATTGGGCTCGAAAAGTTAATATACGTCTATAGCTGAACCAGTAAAATTAAAAATAAAAATTGTATTTTGAATGTATTTATTTAAGTGATTTGAAATTGAAATAAATTTAGTACTTTCAATATTGTGACCGTAATATAGCAGATTTTAAGTTTCGATTTAGTTTTTAATTTAACTGAACTATAAGTCGGCTTCGCAAGTGATCGAGTTGTGGGTAATGAAGACATTGCCCATTGCAGGCGACACAGCTGATGGCGAAAATGAACTGCAATGTAATGCATTTTGCATGTGCTGACTGCTTTGATTGACAGCCAGCCGGCCCACAAGGACATGGAGTGGGTGCATAATGCGAGTACACAATGTACATCACGAACAGGTGTGTCCACAGCAGGTGCTTACGCATCGAAAATGCCATTAATGGCGCTTTGCGGGTGCACGCATAATTAAGCTTGTCAAATGGTGGCAGCGACATCATCGCTGCCTTTGGACGTTGCTGTCAATGTTGTCTTAATCGGCTCTAATTAGCCATTTGTTGTTGTTGGCGATTTGGACAACTGGACGATTGGGTTAACTGCTCGTTCCTCCTGACTACAACAGGTTGGCTTTGCTGCCCCAATAAGCATTATGTAAGATTTTAGCTTCACTATTTATTTCAGCTCCTTTGCTTGAGCCAATTCAATATTTTGGCAGTTCAGTGTAACTTGTTGTGCCTCGTTCAAAAGACATGAAGCTAGCTAATCCACTCACGGAGCGAATGAAAAAATTGCAAGCCAAATTTCATTTTTGTCACTTGCAGCTGCAGATAAAAAGTAATTCGCACTACAAAGTGCAGCAGACGTAAAGCTTCCACTCCGCTATTAGGTCATTCCCCACCCAACTGAAACAAGAGAGACAGAGAGAGAGAGAGAGAGACAAGCGAAAGAGTAACGTGCTTTCCAGTCGATTTAATAGCCAAACAGCGGGCGCATCCCGCACAAAGGCAAACAAACGGCGTCTGGCTGTCACTTAATCGAAGCCATTAGCGTTATTAGTGCAAGAACTCCACAAACTCCTGCTTCTACTCCCAGGCCTGACTGGCGGCCAGGTAGAGGGCAAACAGCGTCTGTATATTGTGTATGTAATCCGATTGGGTTTCGAGCGGCCCCTCCACACCGAAGCATTCGCAAAGCGAACGCACATAATCAACCAGCGATATTTGTTGTTGCAGACAAGCGCGGTAGGCCTCGTCGACAGCCTCCTTGTTGGCAGCTGTGCCGAAGGAGCGCGGCCAATTCTCCAGCAGGGCATCGATGTCCTTACGGGGCTGTGCATCGTACATCGATTGCGTCATATGCACTTGCTCCACCTCGGCTATCCATTTCTCAATATCCTTGGCAGTCTTCGCGGTGGGCACCAGCGTCGCTGAGCGAGCGGCATGGCGCGAATTGCCGGCTCGACCGCCGCTCAGCACCGAGCGCAGCTTCATGTTCAGCAAGCTGGGTTCACTCTGTGCACCGGATGGTTCGTCCAGTAGTATAAGGCCCAAGCGCTGCAGCTGCTCATCCAATTCGCGTTGCCGCTGTGCCTGTGGCTGCAGCAGTGCTGGCGCCTGCACCTTCAGTATGGCATCCACGTCACCCACGGCGGGCACAAATTCCGGCACAAAGGGCTGCAGATGGTAAGGCGTCTCGATCGTTTGCGGCGTATACTTGAGTATGTAGGGAAATAGCTCCTTCAGTTCCGGCTGCAATGGGAGCTGTTCCCATTTATCCGGCGTTAGCTCAAACGTATTCGCCTGCTCCTGTGCCGGCCCAGCACTGTGCCGCTGCTGCGTCGGCTGTGGCAGCTTCTTTTGTTGCTGCAACATCTTGACGCCTGCTGGCAGCTCTCCGGCCGCCTCATCCGAGCTGCCAAAGCTTAGCTGGTCATCACCTATTGGCATTGGCTGCACTTGTTTCCCATTCCGTGTGCTGCCCGGTCGTGTTTGTGGCCGTGATGCGGACGCCGCCATGCCGCCCAGCTGCAGTTCGCTATCATCGTCGTCGTCGTCGTCATTATCGCTGTCATCGGCCTCATCATCGTGATCTATGATATCTTGCAACAGGCCATCGTCGTCCGCGGAGCTGCCCTGCATTTTCTGTATGTAGTATATGGGATATATATAGTTCCTTATAGTATATACTTCCTTATAGTTAACCGCTTACCATATTCCGCTGTCTGCCCGCAGCGCGACTGGCGGCTCCGCTCGTCCGGCTCAACTGTCGCTCCATTGGCACACTACTCAGATGTTTGCCATCCGCTGAGCCGCTGATTGTGATCTCTTCGTCGTAGTAATTCATTTTCTAATTCCTTGGCTGATTGTTGATTTGATTTTAGATCCTGTAGCATTTACCTTGCAGCAAATTGCAATTTTACGCACTTCCGCCGAATCGCAGATTCACTTGCTGTAGAATTTTTGCTACCTTTTGCAGGTGCTAGGCTTGTCCTTTCGCGCTGCTTTACCTGCGAAAAGAAAAACAATTGTCAATTGTTTTGGGCCCATCAGTTGCCTTGACAACCAGCACGTTGTTGTGGTTGTCTGTTGGCCCGGCTTACTTCTATATGTTTTCTGGCGAAACTCTCCTGCTATCCGTGCGACTATCCGGCTAGCGCTGGCTCGGCGTAGGCGCTGCTTGGATTTAATTACATGAAATGGGAATCTGATTTTGTAATACCCTTCAAGCACCTCGTCGATGGTCTGCGACTGCTGTCAATATTGTGACTACTTGAACAAATGAATTTTCAGGCTTACGTTGGCCGGATCTGACCCTTTATGACGACTGTTTATTTATGAACCCTTTTTCGGTTGTCTTCAAAATGGTTTTATGAACAAGCACAGATTTGCATACGCTCAAACCAAGGGCTAAGTGTAACTGGCGGCTGTTCTGATGGTTCTAATGTCTGCACTAAAACCTTTTTCTAATTATGCATATAGATCATTTTCCTTGAAAGATTAAAAAAGGACAAATTAGAACGAAATAAAAATATTGAAAATAAAATTATTTGATTCGATATCCTTTAAGAACTTGATCTTCGGCATAGAGGCATAGCTCCACTTATCATTTTATTAAATTATTTTTTTTTTATTGACAGAAAAATATTTTATTAATTATTTGTGAAATCTCGTCAGATACACAAAAATTCTGTACTTGACTAATTGAATCTGCTCGAACCCCGCCAGCGAACACAACAGCGCCGTCCATGGGCGCAACGACCGCTCGAACATGTTGCGGCTCGATGCGGTTCGGTTTGATGTGCAACCGCGCAACCGCAACGAAGATGAAAACACAACACAACAATTTTCTGCTTTCATTAGGTTTTGGATGTTCGCGCTGTGCGTTTCGTTGCGGCTGCTGCGTGTTTTAACAGAAATACCAAAAAAATAACGAAAAAATACGTTTCAATTTTACGCTGTTTTTAAAATGTGCTAAAAGAACCACAACAACAAAAACAACAGTTATTTATATTTATAATCAAAAAAAGCTTTGAAAGTAAAAGAAGTGTGAATTATTGAAAAAAATCATTAAACAACAATTCGCTCACATAATTAACGCTGATTAAGCCGCTCGATTGCTTAAATTACGCGGTAAATTTTACATTTAATCTTACGCAACTTTAAAGATATTTTTTATAATACGAAGTTAATTAATAGCGCCTTTATCCCCTCGGTGTGGCTAGACTTCATTAATAGCTGCTGTTCTCTCTCTCTCTCTCTTCCTCTGTGTGTGGAAATCAGTGTGTGTGTGTGTGTGTGCGCCCGTATAGGTGTTTGCTGCGCCGTGCGACTGGCACAATTTTCATTATCAGACGCTAAAAGGATTACGAACCCGTTCATCTTCATCTTCAGCAGCAGCCTTCGCTTTGAGCTTAGCCAAATATTTGCAACCATCCACAAACGGTAAGTTGATGCCCCTTGACCAACACCCCTCACCACCCACCATCCATCAGCCTGCTGCTTTATGTGTTAGCTTTCACGCCTACCTCATAGGTCCAACATTCCTGCCCTCTCCACAGCAAAATGTTTTATATTCGCGCACAGTTAAAAAGGGTTATGTCTGCCCCTGCCCTCAGCACCATCCGAAGCCCCTCCGGAGGCCGGGTCAACCAAGTGTTGGCCGCATTGTTAGCTTAAACTGTGCTTTGTGCCGTTACCCGTTGCATGCTCCCAAAACTTGCGCAATAAAATGAAATTGTTTTGAATAATTGAGAGCCGAGACTTGGCAGCCCCATCTTGTTGTAATATCCTGTAATTGTAAGTGTTATAGCTAGAGAAGTGCAACTGTGATTACATAGGGTATTCGTCAACTGAATCGATTCAATGAGACATAATTTGAAGATAGAAGAGAAATGTAACTCATTTGATTCAGCTTAATAATTTATTGGGACAATGTGTTGTGCTTTACAGAGTGTCTTCAAGTCGATCACGCACTTTGGTAATATAATTTATATTTGGTGCCTTTACGGTCAGCGAACAGTTTTCATTGTTGGGTTTCGGCTTGGGTTCCGCCACACATATGGAGAGTTTCAGGACTCGAATAGGTGTCTGGGGCATTAACAGTTAACATGTTGCGGTTTTTGATTGCTGCAAAATGCTGCTTCTTCTCTTTTTTTGTAATATTTTTTTTTTGTGGTATTCGCACAAAAAAAGGTCCAAAAGGTTGGCCCTTTTTATGCACTGCGAATCAGTAGGGCGAAAATTGGATTTTGTGCAGAAAGTTTACTGTCTGGAGCTGAGCTTATCAATATGTTTATATATATACAGTTAACTGCAGACCATAAAACTTGTTATCAAACTCGAATTGCTTTTTTCAAAGACTCGAAACAATTTCTTTGATCTTATATGACAATAAAACAAGTTTAGCATTCTATTAGGAAAAAATATATATTTCAACTTCATTTAAAACAAATTTTGTTAGATCTTTATGAAAAATATATGCATTTATGCTAATATGTCAGAACTAGGTTAATATATTCTTTAACCAGCTAGTTTTAAGCTCTGTTAGGAATTTGCCAATAGTGAAGATAACAAACAATATGTTCTGTTATCTTCACGCTTCTAATTATTGATTTGTATTTTTATTTATACAGCCATGTTTTATGTATATATAGTTCATTTAATTTTTTTTTTTCATTGACATATATATTAAAAGAAATATGTGAAAATATATAAAAGACAATATGTTAAATTTTATGATTGAAGTATCTTTACTATATATTTCCTATGGCCAATCTTTACTTCAATGTTAGCCATTTTCATGCAACCCTGAACACAATCAATAGCGCACAGATTGAGCAATCTATATACCTGCGTTATTGATAGCTGCGTTTCATTACAGACTCGAATCGAATCGAATCGAATTGAATTGAATTGAATTGAATTTACTGACCTTACACCCGCCGTCAATCCTCAATACTCCACTTACATTTGGCATTCCTTGCTCATTGATGAGCGGCTAATTAATTTCTATTCAAGTATATAAATATATCTAAGTCTACATATAGAGGAAGACGTGGAAGCTTCCTTCAAACTGGCCAATATAAATGCCATTGCTTGTGGACGTTTTTATTTGTATTTGCGGTCTGTTTTATTGTAATCTTTTATGGTGCAGTCCAATGTTTTGCCTCAATTCTCATAACTTTGCCGACCTATATATAATTGTGGGAGGAGCAGGCTTTATAGCGCCTAAAAGTGAACAGCACTTGCTGTCCACTTTCCTTTTCATTGTCTCGTGCGCTTATCGCAGTCGTTGCTTTTGGTCCAAGCATTTTTATGTCTGTTTTGCTTTGTCTCTTTCTTTTACTTTTTTGAATACCCTGTACTCAGTGTCAATGGGGAAAATGGTTTTATGTGTCCAATGTGTGCTGCAGCGCAGAATATTTATAATTGAGCTTATAAAGTTGGTAATTGGTATTCGTTACGATTTGTTTTTAAAAACATTTTCCATATTGATTTTTGAAAATTTCCCAATAATTCAATAATAATTGTAAATTTTTTTTTATTTTTAATTATTTTACATTAATCGATTCCATTTGTTTTATTATATAAATCACAATTACACTAAAATTTAAAATAAGAAACAGTAAGAGATAAAGCTCTACCAATTACAGGGTATGTGCTAAGCGAGCATTCGAGTTAAAGATACTCCTACTTGAAGCTGGCTGAGTCTGTGTGAATAGGCTTAAGGATGCTCGCGTTGGCTGCTGCTTTGCTTGGGGTCTGGGATAATCATCAGCATGCGCGGCCATGTTCTCAAGTTCGTCGTCGTTTCAAGTTCAGCGAAAGTGAAACGTGTCGGGTATTTGGTTTTGGTTTAGTGCTGGGGATAGGTTTTAGCTGAATAGGCTTAAAGGTAGGGAGGGGCGAACGCAAAGGGGAGCTATAAAAATAAAAATTGTTTGTGCCGAGTGGAAAGTTCGTTTGGCAATTTGAATTGAGTTGCAGTCACAGTCACAGTCATAGTTACGCTACGACACACACACGCACACACACACATAACCAAGGCAAACGGCAAAGTTTTCAAGACCCGTCACAACACATAAAGCGATAAGATGCCACGCAGTAGGCTCAAATTATGTTTGACATTTTCAGCCAGATTGGTTTTTATTTAAATTAGTTTCGAATACATGTTGTAGGCCCAGAATACCAGCCAACCAGCCCCCAACCCCGGCTCATACTCCCGACATGCTCGCTGAAGTGTAAAAATAAGTTAAAAAAAAAGAACGGAAAATAAGCAAAACAAATTGATTTGTGCATTTTTTTTCGCTTTCTGCTGAGATTTGCGAAAAAGTTTAGAAATAGAGTATGAATAAACTGTATTATAATGAAGTGGAACTTCATTTTGGAGTATTAAATTATATTTATAAATCGCTATATACAATAAGACAGAATGAGTTAGACACGAAGCAAAACTTGTATAGAATATGAATACATTTAAATAAAATATGGGAAATTTATACGTATATATTAAATATATAAATAAATAAATATAAATATATAAAGATAAATATATATACATATACAAATTATCAATTGAAAAATGTAATTTTGCAGAAGGTTTTCCGCTTTCAATGACATTTTCAGCAAACTTAAGCTCTATTTTTGTGTTGAGTATAAAGTATGTATTATTTATTTGTATAAGGGTATCCAAAGAGAGGGTATTATCTTTGAAATTAGTTTTGTTTTTTCCTGTTTTTATTTATTTTTCATTTTCATGTTCAACTGCTGCCTCAGCTGTTGTTCGTGAGCTTCGATTGAGTTCCTTGAAAGCTTGCCAGCTATATGATATCCCATAAAAATAATAAGCAAAATCAGTTTCAGTTGCCGACTTTGAGACTCGGATTTCAGCGCTGCCCCACGATGACAAATTGCAAATAATCGCTTGTTCGCAATTGCAAATATCAATACTGAAGGCTATACAACACTTCGTTTTTATTTATTTTTTTTATTTTTTATATATTTATATATTTTTTGTATACTCTGAACCGATTCAAAATCGCAAATCAGGTTATAATAGTTTTGTTAAAATGAGGTCATTAAGTATATATAATTATAATTTTTTTTAGTTTAGATACCAACTCCAAAACTTTCCCAATTGCAAATATAGCCAATATGTAAAAGAGTATAATTTTTTCCTTTTTTACTAAGCTGTAAAATATTTCAATAAAATATGTAGCTCAAATGCTGAAGATTTCACTGAAATCCGTTGTTGTTAAGCAACAGGCTTTGGCCAATTAGGAAAAGCACGTGGCAAGCAGCGCCAACCGCACGCATTTTTCCAATAAATGTGCATTTCTTTCTATTCGAAGAATTGCAGTTGCGATTGAATTGTGTTTGAATTGTTAGCTGTTACTTTACTTTGCATTTGATACTAATCGATCGAGCAGTGAAGTGGCGGTGTTAGAGGCGGTGAGTTCAAGCCTTGGCCCCGACGGTTTTTATCTTTCTTTTTTAAGTTATTTTACAAACGTGTTATAGACACAAGCTATGGAGTGTATCTCGTAGTCGGGCACCTGCGACTAGAGTTTTCTTGTTATATATATTTGCAAGCGAAACGAGCTAGCAGTTAGCCTAGCTCTAGTATTTATTAACTTTTTATTTTTGTTATTTACTGCCGAGTTGTCAGTAAATGAAATGCAAATAATTGGTAAGCAACTGTTGCGCCTAAAGCTCACATTGTATAAATATGTTAAAAATAAATTTCGTATTTGCTCAAGTGTCGCCTTTGTTGACAGCTTGTGATCAGAGGTGAGGAAACAACAGGAGAACAAAATGGGCTAAATTAAATAACCTTGCTGAGAACACCAACCAGAGACTATACTACAAGCTGAAAGCTGCACAAAACCTATAAGACCCATTGCACTATATGAACAGAGTATAACATTTCTAAAATATAAATCTTTCTTAAGATAAGTCTGTAAATTACATTCCGTTTAGTGTGGACATTTTAAGCATTTTAAATGCCGCACGAGCTTTGGAGCTTCCGAGATTAACATCTCTATATAAACAGCCCGTCATCTCCAACATCAACTCAGCTGTCGCTCTGGCTTGGCAAATGTTTTGAGTGCGCCACATCATTAGTGGACATTTGTTTGGCCAACACCTGAGACTGGGGCGCCACTTGGTCGATAAAGTAGTTATTTATTTCCTTTAACTTGAGCTGGCGGAACAATCAATCTCATTGACAACGCGGCCCCAACCAAAATATTTGCATTGTTGTTGTTGAGTCTTCGTCTGTGCCTTGATAGCTTCATTGGCAGCTCTTGTCATATGCATAACATTTCATTTGGGTTTCTTTTTCACTGCCTCTACCCAATGTTAATGTTGATAAATGATACAACTTACATTTTCCGCTTCGCTGTGGCTCATCTACTTATGACTGCTCTTTTGTTGCTGTTAAC